AATTTCGCTTGATCGATGGTTTCAGCAAATGCACTGTTTTATGAAACGTCCACATTCGCCCTCTCATTATCCTTCAAACAGGATCCCCAGGTGTGGCGAAGTGCTTGGAATTATATGTTTGCTTTATGCATGTGCAAGATTTTGGAGAGGTTTTGGGGGGGGTGTATTGGTCCATTTCTGAGGTTTTTCGTGCGGGCTGGAAGGGAGCACAAACGCGAATTAGTGAGGGCAGATCCAATACTCGCGCTGCAAATTCGATAAAAGTGGAGCGCGTGTCAACTTGAGTGAAAATGTTGCTTCAAATCTGTCGTGATGTCGAATTTGCTTCGCTGCCACCTTCGCTTGTAGTGTGACCTAAACAGTTATAACTGTTTTCCTTGCGTATTTTTTTCTCAATGGCCTCTTGAAGTCCGCCATTTCAACAGGGAAGCTCCTGCAAGCCATGAAGACTAGTCTTCTCTCAAGACTGCTGATGAAATCGTTATCATAGGAAAGTACATTATGGTGTTCTTCAAGTGTAACACGGCTGTGCGCAGCTAAACATTAGACCTCACAATGTATATTTTGCTGAAACGCACTTATGAAAATCTCTAAAACAAACTTGAAGAAATATTTCTCCCCCCCAAAAGTGGGAAAATTACATCTCCCTAAAATTTAACTTTAGAAATTGTATCTCACGAAAAATATACAAGAAGGTTGCAACAAATACATCACGTAAAAACACTTTGGAAGAATGCACGTTTCTTTTTGCACGATCGTCCCATCGCTCAGCACAACTGGCCAATCCTGTCTGACGTCTCCTCTTTATTCCCCTTTCTGGAAACAATATTTTACAGCGGGAAAAAGACGACTGGTTGACGATGGAATTCTCGACAAATCGTGCATTGAGATTTATCGATCGCTCAGGGATTAAACTATCGCGTCAAAGGCACCGGTGGGCATTTCAACAGTGAATTGTTGGAGTGGAAACAATAGTTTGGTGTCACACAGGGCCCGAGTATAGTGTATAGCCACTTAACTGCCAACCATACCGAGTTTGTTTTCAACAGAACACTTCATAAGTCTGACTAACTCAAGGATTTTCATTGATGAATTTACCTCTTCGTGTCGTGGTCAGCATGACTTGTGTGCCGCCTCATTCAATTATTTAAACATTTAATCTTTTTATCTTTCCAAATTCTGCAATACTTTATGTCGTTGAGGTATGGTGAGGTGTGATAACAGGATTAATTACATTGGATTTGTCATATTCGGAATAGCAAAGGCGATTATATGTATTGGGCCTGTCATACTATTTTGTGATCATGTAAAAGGGTGTCGGGAAATGGGGGCAAACAAATCATCGCCATCAAATATGGCACTCAAATTTTAGGGGTGTGCAGGAGAACTTAATGCCAGGAAGCAGCTGCATACTATACACTACCACTTTTTATTTTTTGATACATTTTTTTGTATGACATACTCTCTAAATCCGAAAAAGTGAAACTAGGGACAAGACGATTTAGAGTGAAAATCACTCTTATTTCGGATTGAAATACTCTTACAAATTAATCACTTCAGTAGGAGCTCGAGTGAAAACTCGATCTTTTCGATTGAAGAAATTTCACTCTGAAACGTCTGGTCCCTAGTTTCCGACTGTAGGAGTGGAGTTTCACTGGAAAAGACAGAGTTTTCACTCTTTTCAATTTAGCGAGATATTTTACTGTTGAAAATGTGAATTTTATGTTTGAAACATTTTTATTTCAATAAGAACACCATCTAGACAAAACAAAAAAACGAAAGACCTATACCCCACTCATTGCATGGAAAAAATTAAAAGTTGAGAAAAAAGTGGTCATCAACCTTTTTGGAGTAGTATATATTACTCCTATTATGTATTTACATACGGAATTTGTTATTATAGCCGACTTTTAGAAAATCATCTTTAAGACAAAGAAAAGGAAAGGTTTTGACAGTTTTCAATTAAAATAAAACAATCAGGACCTAGAAAATAAACACAGGTGCCTTTTTATGTCTGAAAGCTTTGTTGAGGGGTACGTCAAATTACAGAAAAAAGTTGCCACTTTGTTTTATTTCTCATTGCGTATATTCTGATTTTTAATCTTTAAATCTTGAGGTCAGGACTTTTTTTTACGGAAACCCAGTGCCCGGCTGCTCGTTTTTTGCTTCATAACTATTAAGAGGTCCTCATACAACTGCAAATGAAATACGTTAATCAACACTTTTACACATGTCGGACTGGATTGGTTTAATACTATGGGAGGAGTCTCACGGGGGGATTCAACAATTTTTCGTTCCGAACATCGTGATGTATTTTATAGAAGCCTTTACATACAACAGAAACTGGGAGCATTTTCACATCTGGAGAGTTTTCGGCCTAGTCGCGGTGGAAATACACAGCTAAAACGTAGATTATCATGTACTATCCGCGATTTTTGTAAAAAAAGAAAAACGAATAAAACTACATAGGAGGAGGCGACAATTATTGTTTTCTCCCGTTTTTACATGTCGAACTTTTCCAGGATGGTGCGTGGAATTTTTGTGTCAAAGGGAGCCTTAGTACCTTAGTACCTGACCACATATGGCTTATCAATGAAAAAACAAAATTTTGAACCAAGTTTTAAAATTAAAACACCCCCCCCAAAAAAAAACACACACACGCAACAAAACAAAAAGGGCTGGGAACAAGAATGCATAAGAGGACAAGAAACTTATTATATTTTTCATTCGGCCTCATGATTGAAAAAAATTCAATTTCAAGTATAATCCCAGTGAAGATCGACTGTCTGCTTTGAAAATTTGACAGCGGAAACTACCCGTCCAACTATTGCCCGTGCCTTTGATGTCAGACAGGAAAAGTAATATAAAGGTAGAGATGCAGGAAAGGCGATATCTCATTTGCTAGGTAAGTTTGTTTTTTGTTGGCGTGCCAAGATATGATTATGTATGGTTTCCAACCCCTTTCCCTCACAAGCTGGTGCCCAGCACCCTTTTTTGCACTGTTTATTATTTCAAATATTTGAACGAGGGGTTCTTAATGTGTTGTCGTTACCCCTTTGTACAAGGTTTCCAAGGTACGGGATGTCGCGCAGTGTTTAAAGAAGGACTTAAACCCTTCGTACAATGAACTGAGCTGGGCTTGCTCAGCAAAGACAGCCCCGGGGTAACTCTATGGAAGAACACCGTGCGTGTTTAGTTTAAAACTCGAAAGTGCTCGTTACACCTCCAAGAAATGTGACTGGCTGTTACGTACCAAAATTTCCTTCAAAGGAGTTTCGTTTAGGACGTATGTAGTTACGTCTGTGCTCCTAGTTTCTGACTGACCCTTTGGCTCTGACCGAAGGGGAAAAAATACCCTTCTTATGCCGCTAACCCTGTCTGGAATTTCCCATCAAGAAAGAAATTCAGTGATACTCGTCAACATTCCTCAGGATAAAGCATATATCCACTTCCCCATTTTTAACCGACCAACAGACCTCAAGACTCCTCAAGGTAAAAAAATGAGAACCATAGAATTTTAAAAGGACGCTGCGTGGTACGTTGGAATGATGTGCTGTATTGGGTGTTCTCAATGGACGGACGGCAACCTTTTTTTCTCCTTCATTACACGTAACAGGTGAAAACAGTGAAATAACAAATTGCACTTAGATTTGACTGGATCCATTTGACTCTTAAGAGTAAAAAACCACAGTCCGGTTTTGTATGTTCATTTTATCTCCCTCTTGGGGTATATAATTAGCTCAGAAGTACCTTATTTTCATATATTTTGAAACAAAAATTCCTGTAAGAGCAGAAAAGTGGGGACTTGGACAATTGTCGAAGTAAAAACAGGAGGAATTGGTGAAGGAATTTGGAGAAAAGTTAGGATATTCTAGAAACTGCTTGAGAATATTTAAACTTGCAAAAATTAATGTTTGATTGCTCAGAACAAAATTACGGGTGGTGCCTGATTGAGACCAGGATTGCTGGATTGTGTGATCAACGGAAAAACCTTTTTTACAGATTAGCACGTAGCATTCGAAGACCTCCCTGTCATGTGAACAGATTGGCGTTTCATACCCCTTCGACAACATGAAAATGGAATGTTGCTGTCCTCAGGCCTATAAACCCCACCTTTTTGCTCCCTTCTGGAAATTTTTATTCATTCCGTTCAAGTAAATGAAAGTTCACAAATAAGGCTACCTGTAGTAAAGCGAATAGGCGTTAAGGAATCAAGCCTACTTTGTGTCGTGCATTGCAATAGCTACGCACATAGCAACAATATAATTACGCTACATTAATTCCCCCAGGCTCGGCTTTACATAATTTCTGAGTGCTGGTCATGCTAAAACAAGCCGCATAGCACGAGATGACCACGTGACTATAGTTTACTCCTTACCAAGACGTTTCGAGAGTGACATCGAAAGGAAAGTATGTAGGAGACGAGTCCACTGATCTACAGTAGGGGTGAGACAAAGCAGAAATCTTCCGAGAAGACATAAAGAGACAGATTTGATGACAAAAAAATGTGTTGTTCGGTTTAATTTAATCTTTATTCTGTTACAAATTTAAACAGCAAAACCATATGTAGTCCTATTGATTACAGCCATTATAGAAGGTTAGTCTGAATTCTAGTGAAAGGTTCACTATTTGACTAATCATAAACTAGGCCTAATTCACATTTTGTGTTGTTCATTCTTCCGTCCACATTTTGACGTTGAAAGTACGACATGTTCAAAACTTTAAAAGTTGAAAGGAACAATTTTTCTGAAGTCATTTTGTTTTTGATTTGAACTATTGGTGTATTTATTGCTCATTTATATTTTCAAAACACCACTTGTACAGGTTTTTAAAATGAGTACTAACGTCTGGTTTATAACCCACATTATGAGTGATCTCCTGTGAATTCGTCCAGTCGAGTGACGTCATTCGAACCTGATACCCCTGTATCAAACCTCGACAACCTGGAAAGCAAATTTTGTTGTGTAACTCAATAAAAGAAAAGAAATCTTCCTACAGCAGCAAGTACCAAACACGATCCAATCAAACATGCTCAGCCAGTCCTATTTTGGAAACTGGTAAATACACGGTTGTTTGAGTTTTAGATGACGATTTAGTCCGTGAGGGGAGTGGGCATACCAGTATAAAGGGACTTTGCCGGCGTCTTTAAGCACTTGTGTCATTTTTTGCTGGACGGAGGCCGGTCGAAGTCCGCTAGTCATCTTGCAAGAAAAAAATTCTTTGTGGTGAGTACATTAATTCTCCGCTGAACTGAATAACTTCAGCAGGTTGTTCCTTTTTCATTGCTGTTGCAATAAGCTACACTTTTGCTCTTTTTTTTTACCAGGAGCGTAGACCAAAGTGTGGTTGTCAAAATCTTATTTGTTTAAGTTCATAGATAAATAGGGTATTTTCTGGTCTGTGAAGTTTCTATGTGTGTTGTAGAAACTTATGAAGGCTATCGAAAACAATTTAATCTTCACGTGCAAACGTTCGCGAAACATTGATTTTTGTTATTAACAATCTAACGATTTTAGGCTATAACCGCATAGATCCAAGTTTCACACAAAAAAAATCGTCTTGACGTTAGCGTAGCGCCTGGTGTTGCAATTTAACCTGTGCAGACTCGAACGTGCAGCTTAAGTTGAATTTTAAGGTTAAATCTTTACCTCATCGTTTTTATCATGCGACCCCAGATAAATTGTTTAGAATCAACCAGATGTTTGATATGAGATTTGGTGTCTGGCCTATGTGACAGCAGCGTTCTTTCCCTTGTGCGCTAGAGACCCCATTAGCTATTGTAGCTACACTGTCTTTAAGCCACAAAAGCGACCGGCAAAACTCTGACTGGCCATTGGTATAAACATTGAAGCACATTTCACCAACTGCTGTTAGATGAAAATAATACGTATTTACCTCAAGTGGGACGAATATCCATTCCAGTTTGTGGCCCATACGAAATACATTTGCATGTAGGCAAATGTTTACGAACGACGAAAAGGTCTACAGTGAGGAAACATAGTGACCCTATACACGTATCTGGTGCATGGTGATTTTTTTAATTTTCGGAATCCCTAAACTGAATAAAACGCGATTGCTCTTTGTATGATATCTTGAGGAAGCAACAAATATTGACTGGAACAGTCCACATATCCGTAGCAAGAGATTCAAGAAACTTTGAGGAAATTTTATGCTGGCCCCAGTCTCCATACTATAGGCCTAGAAAGAGCCAGCTTGAAGTCTCTAGTTTAACAAAATATATGTATATCGTGCCTTTCCACGCTACATTTATACATGTGTGATTCTTTAAAAGGTACACTCCATCAATGATTTGTGCATTATGTGCCTTTGAGTCAACAAAACTACACACAATCTTGAGGAAGGCGTCTTTAAGAAGAAACATGAAAGAAGCTTCATCTCTGATGATTCAAATTAAAAGTTGCTGAGTCATGTATGTATTGCGTGTCTGAGACACGTCCCCACGTTCAGTCGCATGCAGCTACACGATGCACGCACTGAACCGATGTTCCATTCCATCTGTACATTTTGGGGTGCGTTACGTACACGATGTGTTCATGCGCATCACTTCCACGGACACAAAAAATCGACTCCAGTCACACAACACACGGGCCGATTTTGACGGATATATACTACGCTTGGCGCAAGTGTTGACACGCCCATGGAAATGCATCTTTGTAGTAATCGTGCACGCGTGTTGTGTCAATGTGCGCTTTTCATTACGATTTTCCAAAATGCGTCATTAGACAAATCCTTGGAAACAACTTCTTTTTCATTTTGTTTAAAAAAAAGTTTGCTTGCCACAAGAAATAATTTCAGAGGAAATTTACTCCGATTTATACCACCGTTAGACCAAGTTTGCTTTTCAATTAGAATTTTACTTTTGGGATAAACTGATAATGATTGGTGGTAACTTTGAGGTCGAGATGGATTTTCACCTTGAGCCTTGGAAGGGAAAGGCGGCGCGTGTCCAGTACATTTTTTGTTCGAAGTAAACATAATTAAAGGACATAAAGGAGTGATTTCATCACTCTTTCATTTGAAAACGAATAAGGGAAGAATGATGTTGACTGGATAAAAAATCATGTGTGGGAAAATTTGAACTTAAAAGCTACGGTACACAATCACTTTGTTCCTTTTTAACGAAGAAACGAAATGAAGTGGGACAACAACATTCTTGTCAATTTCCCATCTAAACAGTTTTATTCAACAAAGTTCTTTTTCATTTATTTTTCTTTATTCCTGGCCAGTTATGAAAAGCTGCTCTTTCATTTGAATTTGTCTGATGTTCGTTTTCGTTTTAGAAAGCTGAAAACAACAAGCTATTTTTTTCTCTATCGGTGTAAGATACATATGAGAAAATGGATTACATGTACCATTCCAATAAGTGAAATGTGAAATGTATTTTACAAACTGTGATCTTAATAACACTTCTTAGAAAAAGCTAACTGCTGCAACTGAGACCAACAACTCATTCGTTTTGCAACACTGTGCAAAAAGACTGTTGACTGAGTCTTGTTTTCACGAATGCTTATATGTGTTCAAGGTACAGCCCATAATTTGCTGTTATCCAAAAAATAATTGACTTTAGAATGAGTCCCAGACGCTGAATTCAGGAGCAATTCAACTTTTGATCTGAACTATACAGTATTGTCAACAGTATTGTATTGAGTTTTGTCAACTCAAAGGAACATAATTCAGAAAGTGTCCCAAACGCTGAATTTTTCTAAGAATTTAAAGTATTCGTCACTGGGCTGAAACCTTAAACGCTTGTTCTTATGCACCCTCCTTTAGAATTTGAGTGTTTTTGTTGCCGCAAAGAAACAAATTTGTCCCGAGTACAAGTTGTTCATCAATCATGATACAAATCTTACTTGTTCATCAATCGCCTGTCATCGGAGCTCGCGCTACTGCGGAGCGATCACGTACCCGAATTCTTCCCATTTTTGTTGGGTATCACTGCTGCGAGTTTCCCTGTCTACATCAGGTTACAATTACATTAAGTCAAAATGACAACCACATGTTTGTAGTGAAACTAATTATGTAGGTCCATAGGAATGTATTACCATTGTCCGTGCTCATTACTGTTCTAATAACTACACTGTATGGGTTTGTAGTCATGACAATGCCTTCATCAACTCTTGAGCTATTCATACCTCACGCCTTCTTGGCTGAACTTTAGTATTTTCAAATGCTGCTACAATATCCCACAGAGATTGTAATATTCACATGACCAGCAGGTTAAAAACACAACTTCGGATATTAACTCAATGTCGTGTGCGATGCTGTGTTTGAAGGACGTCTTTGATTCTGTAACGCGTGTGGCGTTTGTGCCGTGTAAGAGACTGGGATTAGTCATCTTCCTTTTTAGACAAGGTACACAACTTCTTCATTTGAATGAAGTATCTTGATATCGGAAGAAGCCTTACGAATTCTAAGACAAGAGATTGCACTGTTCTTGAATTGCTGTGTTAAATTAGTCTGCTTTATCGCCACATGTAATTTTGAAACATTACGTAGGCCTACCTGCCTAAGAAGAGTTTTACAGACACGACCGCTTCTCAGCTTTCTATAGATGGTGTCAGAAATACCAGGATTTAATTATTTGGCAATGCAAAAAAATGCCGTCTCATCAGAACAAGTGAAATCATGTCACAATCATTTTAGGCATACACAAATCCTGATCAATCTGCTCAACATGACGGGCATATTATGTCAGATATTGCATTACACATTCAGTTTTACCAATTGTCTGGCGGCACACAGTCGCCACATGATATGCTTCATAATAAAATGTAGAGCATCACACTCTGCCGAAACAGTGTGTTGTAACAGTCATTTCAGATTTATAACTGAGCCAGCGGTGGGCCCTCGAAACGAAAGATAAAAATGCTAGCCTAACAGCTTGCATGGGCTTATCTGTGATCCGTCTTGCCACAATGTCGCAACGATGTGTCTTTTGTTTGAGCTGGGGCTGGGCCCACAACTGTAAATGCCACCAAAATGTGTAAAAAAAAGTGTAATTTTATCTTGTTTTTTAGTACAGGCACCTGAGGGGGGGGGGCACCGGGCACGTGCCCCCATCCCCCCGGCTACGCCCCTGCATAATAGACACCTTGCATCAATACAGTTTTCAGTGGATAAGAAGGGCTTTAAGAAACCAGTTCCCCCAGGAAACGATGACCACTATGCAAAAGCCTGCCCCAAATTTACGACTCGAGGTTTAGCTGCATTGTCTTCGGTCTAGGGGTTCAAATTGTAGAGTTGTAGACTCGATTCACTTGACTTTGGCTGAGTCGGATGCGAATCGCTGTTTTTGGGACTTGTAATCAGTTTTGACAAACTGTGACTTGTCTTGGACTTGCAAAAATGACTTGTTACGTGACTTGGACTTGCACATCATGACTTGTTACCAAAGTAAGTCAGAAAACTATTTAATCGAACCAAATACAGTTTTAAACAAGGCCTGTATTATTTTACGCCTTGTGTTCTTAAACTAATCAGCGTAAGACTTCGTTTGGCTCGCGACTTCTAAATCGGTCTTGTCTGCCCCAGGCCACGTCTGAATCACTGTTCAACTTTTCGGGGAGCCAATCAACAGCGTTTTCAAAGCCCTGTATAATATTATTCAAATTAGTTTATCAGATTATGAGTTTATGAGTTAAACTCAGCCTAGAGATAAAACAAAAACTGCCTCCCGATCTCGAAGTCCGTTAATTTCCGTCTAATGCGCCGCCTTCAGGTGGTTGTAGCATGCCTTCAAGACATGCCTATTGATCATTTTTATAACTACCCATATTCAGATATTTGTTGAGGATTCATCCTGTATTTCCACTTTTTGGGGTGAAATGGGCCAATTCTCGGTAATATGGCGAATGGAGACGTCAAACATAGTGACCGTATACCGCGTGTAACAATGTGAGACATGGCAAACATTGAAAATGACTCGATTTCTTCGGTTATCAGCGGTCATCGCGAGATCGTGGCTACTGTCCTAGACTGTAGAGGGATATTTGTGAGTTCTTTACTCAAATGGTCTATGCAGATGTTAAACATGATGTTGACTAATGTTTCAGTTTGAAATCGTCGTTTGTGAATGTGCAGCATGTTGACAGGTTGAAGGTTATATGCATAACTTTGGCCGATCATCACTCAAGTTATATGAATAGCACACATTCTACTAATATTACCATATTGTCTGCTGCCACCCCTTGTCAAACAAATATCCAAGGCCTTCATTTATGGTGCAGATTGCAGAATGAACTGCGGAAGGTCCTGGAATCAAGACTAGGTTGTGGCTTAAAATCACACATAGTGAAACATACTTGGACAAAAAGACATGTGACTTGACTTGTGACCAGAGGACTTGTGATCAAATTACTTTTGACTTGACTCGTAACTGGACCAAATGGCTTGTGACTTGACTTAGACTTTCAAATATTGACCTGTTACCACTGCTGTCAAATTCTTATGTTTGTTCGCAACAGTGTGCCAAATTGTATCCAAATTTAACTCGCAAAAGGCAATTTGGTAGGTTAAGTCGTCCTCGCTTGAGAAGTATCCAATTAGGATTCTGTAAAAAGGCTAAATTTATGTTCTCATCGTCGAGTCCATTTTATACTTGTCCCCAAGGAACTAATTCCCAGGATGATGAAGCTGCTACTCCTGGTGAGCGTGGCCTGCCTCTTTGTTGTTGCCTGCCAGGCTCGGCCAGCCAATGAGGAAGACCTCCGCGAGCTGATGAAGGAGGTGATCGAGGATGAACTCGAGGAGGAACTGCTGGCGAAACTGGAAGAACTGGAAGGAGAAAAGAGTAAGTCATCCGGGAGTGAAACGCTACCCCCTATTTCGTTTCATTTTTAAGGTTTCAGATTACAAATTAGCCAGTCTTTAAGTCACATTAATTGGATGTCGTTTAATCACTTGGTCTGATGCATATTTCACATTTGTGTAAAGGTTTTGTTCGCTTACAGTAGTCTGTGTGAGTCTCATCAAAGTCTCATCCCCAGGGAAATTGCAAACAGTTCATTATGAATGTATTAGCTGGACTAGGGTTACTTTTTTGTTCGAGTATAAGGAAGGCTTTAATTTGCATCTACGGGAATGTAAACTCGTTGCTGGGTCAAGTCTTGAACTCGATTATAAACCCATGAAGAGCCGAGTCATATTTGTCCCTTTCTTGGTCAAATATGACCCAAAACAGGTCATAATGTGACCTGGAAAGGGATAATGCCTCATGGAACCCAGATTCCGGGTCAGTCTGACCCTGCTGTTTTTAGAACGTAGGGTAAATGCAGTGTAAGAAACGTTAGCAGTGTGCAGTTTGATCGACAGTCTTAGTCTAATGCACATCTGTAAGCCTAATTGATTCCTCTGAAGTGCTTTTCAATGGTGTAACTACCAGAGAAAGCACGGGACAGTCCCTTTAAGAATCTCAACAAAAATAATTTATAAGCTTTTCCAAAGCTCCAGACTAAGTTTTGATTGATGCACCATGCCCTCGGTAAATTGAAATAACGGCTATGGCAGTCCTCAATGTCCAGACCAAACTGATGGGAAGTGGTGTGAATTAAACACTTTTAGTACGGTGCGACTCACAATACAGTGCGCCACCAAGAGTTTGCTATACCTAAACTGGCCGCCACGATTATCGTCCTTCGTACGTAATTTGGGGATATTTCATCGATTGTGGCGTTCTTTGTTTGCACAATAAAACCATTATTTTGACAACCCAACTCCCATTTGTAAAAAAATGAAGCGTTTTCTGTGCACATTTTCTCCCATAATTTACCTGAAAAGGTTTCTCAGCGACAATCTCTTGGTGACGCACAGCATTGCAAATCGGCGGTATTAACCGAACTCCTTCAGTCTCAGTGCATAGACTCTCTTCTTGTCTTCTATTTATGAAATCGAATGTTTCCTTTTCTGTGGTATCGTGATCTACTTCCAGACAATATGAGGCCCCAATGGGAATATAAACCGCCACATCCTGAGGGCCAACAACCAGAGGGTGGTAAAAGACCGCCACGCCCCGAGGAGGGAAGTGGAGATGCTTGGGATGGTCCTGAAGAGCGTGAGCTAAGACAGGATGAAGAGGGTAAAAGAAAAGAAGAAACAGAAGATGGGCGCAAGCCACGCCCACCTAAGGCGGACAAGCCTCTTCCCCCTGATGGTGATGAAAGACCACGCCCTGAGGAAGGCAGTGGAGATGATTGGGATGGTCCAGAGGAGCGTGAGTTGAGAGAGGATGAAGAGGGTAAAGGAGAAGAGAAGGGAGGAAAAGAAGATGGGCGCAAGCCACGCCCACCTAAGGCGGACAAGCCTCTTCCCACTGATGGTGATAAAAGACCACGCCCGGAGGAAGGCAGTGGAGATGATTGGGATGGTCCAGAGGAGCGTGAGTTGAGAGAGGATGAAGAGGGTAAAGGAGAAAAGAAGGGAGGAAAAGAAGATGGGCGCAAGCCACGCCCACCTAAGGGGGACAAGCCTCTTCCCCCTGATGGTGATAAAAGACCACGCCCCGAGGAAGGCAGTGGAGATGATTGGGATGGTCCCGAAGAGCGTGAGTTGAGAGAAGATGAAGAGGGTAAAGGAAAAGAGAAGGGAGGAAAAGAAGATGGGCACAAGCCACGCCCACCTAAGGGGGACAAGCCTCTTCCCCCTGATGGTGATGAAAAACCACGCCCTGACGAAGGTAGTGGAGATGACTGGGATGGTCCCGAAGAGCGTGAGTTGAGACAGGATGAAGAGGGTAAAGGAAAAGAGAAGGGAGGAAAAGAAGATGGGCGCAAGCCACGCCCACCTAAGGGGGACAAGCCTCTTCCCCCTGATGGTGATAAAAGACCACGCCCCGAGGAAGGTAGTGGAGATGATTGGGATGGTCCAGAGGAGCGTGAGTTGAGAGAGGATGAAGAGGGTAAAGGAAAAGAGAAGAGAGGAAAAGAAGATGGGCGCAAGCCACGCCCACCTAAGGGGGACAAGCCTCTTCCCCCTGATGGTGATGAAAGACCACGCCCTGAGGAAGGTAGTGGAGATGACTGGGATGGTCCCAAAGAGCGTGAGTTAAGAGAAGATGAAGAGGGTAAAAGAAAAGAGAAGGGAGGAAAAGAAGATGGGCGCAAGCCACGCCCACCTAAGGGGGACAAACCTCTTCCCCCTGATGGTGATGAAAGACCACGCCCTGAGGAAGGTAGTGGAGATGATTGGGATGGTCCCGAAGAGCGTGAGTTGAGAGAAGATGAAGAGGGTAAGGAAAAAGGACAACAGGAAAAGTGGGAAAAAGAGTTGGAAAAGTGGGAAAAGGAGTGGAAAGAGAAAGAGGAGGGGCGAAGGCCACGTCCTCCTAAGGGGGACAAACCCCCTCCAGATGGTAGCGACAGACCACGCCCTGAAGAGGGGAGCGGGGATCTTCCAGATGAAATCCAGGAGGATGACATGCTTGCTCTCCTAGGGGAGCGTGGACTGACCAAGGATAAAAGCGCGGATAAGAAAGGGAAGGATGGACGCAAGCCACGCCCCAAAGAGGGAAATGAAAAACTTCCCGAGGATGCCAGAGAGAAGCGCATGCTCGTTCGCTTGTACCATTACCTCCAGAACCAATAGACCATGATGGACTAAACTGGATTGAATTAGTGTGATGTTTATTAATGCTTTAGTTAGCTCCTGTCAACTATTAATTAACGGGGACATACAATCTATACTTAAAGCATAATCCTACCTAAAAGGAAAAGAATTAACCCTCAGTAATAGCGAGTGTCTTATGAACTGGCTCCAAAAAGGAGTGACAAGTATCCAAAAGAAGGAGAGAAATAAAGGAAAACCTGCTTGGCCCCCCGTATTTTCTTGGGAAAGTAGAAATTTAACCTTTTGGGAGTGTTTTTCAAACTTTTGGAGTGGTTTTTATGCGAGACTCTCTATTTAGAGAATAAGTTTTCACTCCTCTGCATTTAGAGAATGTACTTACAACTATCAAATTCTTATTTTATTATTTGCTTTGAATTTTATTGGGTAATTTTTCTATTACTTTGGAGTTTAATTTTTGTACAACCAACTTCCCATATTACTAGAAATACTGTGATCCTCTTTTGACATGAGCACAAAAACCGATGATTCTGTCACATTCTGATTTGAATTTCTCTTATAAAATTAGAGAGTGACTCATTGTTTTGAAGTGCATATCAAAAACCCAACAATATTAATCCTATCTCAGGAACGCTTTCCGATAATGCAATTTGGGGGGCCCCTCCGGTACATAATTTGAATAGTACTATATTACATCACCAAACAGTCAACTAAGATATCTAGAAACGTATTGACAGTATTTTAAATGTTAAAACTGCACTTTAGAACACACCTATCCCGAATAAGATACAAAAATAAAAACACTTTTCATACATTGGAAAAGTGTATAATGTTACACAAAACCGAATACAGATACTTATATCTCATCGTCCCTCACAGAAAGAGTTCCTTTTAAGGCATTAAAACCACATAAAATGTTAACATGTTTTCAAATTTAACCAGCTTTAAAGAGTGTGTTGCACTCGAGGTTTTTACGAAAAAGTAGTGAAAAAAGTTGTTCGTATTGTTTCAAGTTAGGCTTACAGTTTGCTGCGCTTAAAGTCTTCAGTTATATCTGTATCTTCCTTTAACCGTTTCATTAATGGAAGCCACTTTTAACTGTAAGTTATAGCTCAACATAAGGCACTCTATTTATTTTGGCCAACAACTAGATCAATGAAGAAACTTAGTTTCATACGGAAGCATTGTCTAAGCACCTTTAAATTTCTGTTATATTTAAACAAATTACGGAGGGTATTCTATTCTATATCTTTCATAAATGTCATCTGTCTCTTTTTTGCAAATGTATCAACTTTTCATTATTTCGTTCAATTCTCTGTTTTTCTTGTTTCAATTTCAGGGAAAAGGTTTTATTTGAAATCAAGCATTTACGAGATCCACACAAATCCCTTAAACGTTTAAAAGCAGTCAGCATCTTATTTTTTCTATTACAAACATGTTTTCAGAAATTACAACATCAGCCTCACGGCTGTTTTATATTCTAGGTCCCTTCCTTAAAACTGTTACAAGGACAGTAACAAAGAATCCGAGTCACCAAAAACCTATCAGGTACATCTTTTTATACATGTTTAAAAGTTTAAAACTATCAAATGATGGACTACAGAGGGTTTGCATAAGTGCCGTCTTGCAGGCCAATGCTTTTGCTCAACAGGATATGCACAGACTGAGGAGGTTTCCCTGTGGAGGAAAAGAATTGCCCTACAAGATGGCTACCCTGCAAAGCCTCTGTTTTGAAAATACATGGGCAAATTATTCCAGATCACACCCTGGAATATTTGTAGCATAGTTTTACGCACTCGAAGTTTGGTTTGGGTAAAACAACATTGAAGGCATCAGCCCGAAACACGTAGTCTCAACTTACTTTAAGGTTACAATAAAAAGTTTAGTGTTGAATTCAGATTAAGTGGCAGATATTTCAGTAATGAGAAATAACACGAGTAACCAAGAGTACTTGAGCATACACTACCCCTTACACTGAGTGAAACATAAGTCTAAAATTACATATTACCGCTAATGGGTCTTAAGAACATATAAGAATGTGCACAACATTTTTTCAACTTTACTTTCCCATAGGCCTAATTCAATATTCCCTGAACCAAACTTTGTATGTTTTCATTTTAGGCCCTAAACTATCATCTCTCAAAATATGGCCTCCTTCTGGTAGTTTGAAAATAGAGAGACACTGAAATGTCTCCCTAAAAGCCGATGTCTCCCTAATGCTGAAAAATTTACCACAAAATGTCTCCCAAATGACCTATTTGTAAATATAAAGCAAACTGTTGTTCGCACTGATTTGAGCTTAATGATGTTGCTCTACCATACATGATATTTGATAACACTGATATGGAGTGCAATGGGTAGCGGTCTAGACAAGCTGCTATACCACACTCAATATACGGAACCCTCAGGAGGCTGTGGTAATTTCCTGTTTTCTTGGAGCGCCATTTTTCTCTTTATGTCTGTTAGCACAGTCTTGATGGTGTAACTTCTTTGCCACTTTGCAAGTACAAAGTAAAACCTGTCGTCAACCTGGAGTAGGAAAGTTCATATAGCAAGAAGAAACAAAATGGTCAAATCTCTTGAGAAATGGTACCTCCACTCGTTCAATTCGCCAAGGACTAACAGGATTTAGTGTGCATTCGTCTACTCATTTGGGTATTAAAAATCCATCTACAAAACTCCAAGAATCACACGCCTGATACAACACGCATAGATACTTCTAAAACAAGTTTGCAAAAAAAGATGATCAAACTGAAGTTCAAGTCAGCCAACTGCGAATATTACTAAGCCACGAAGTTTGTTTTTACACCAAGTCTTTTAACAACAGGATTTCAAACCTCTGACCCTCAATGATCCCTCAGCACCTTTCTTGAAATATTCCTTGCTCTTTCGAAATCTTCCATCCTATGCAATGAACTAATCGTCCACTTTTTCCATTCTACAACATCCTGCAGGGCCACTAGGGTTGATGTTCGTGCAATGTGTTTATGTTCAATTCATCAGCAGAAATTTGAGCCAGGAATAGGAAGTGGATGGTAGAGAGAACGACTTGCCAGCCAATAGAGATTCGAAATGCAGGGAGGGGGTTGTGTACACCACAGTTATGACAGTAGAGGGCGATGTTCATGCTAAGTATGTACACGTATATTTCACTTCTGCAGAACCTTGTAAATATCTGCTGCATGCGTATAGCTTTTTATTGTTATCCCATTTTAGACCTACTGAATACAGATTAGCTGATGGGAAGTCCAAATTGTTTTCACAGTTGGCCATGATTTTGCTCACCACGGGGGGGGGGGAGTTGATTCAGTAGCCCAACCCCCGGTCAAAATATGTGATGGTATGTAGCCCCCATACCTCGGTATCATCAGTTTGGTAAACAAAGACAAAACTTTATCCGCTCAAGTTACTCGAGTAAGGTTGGCAACAACACGCAAGCCTATGGCACTGCCGCAGCCACCAGCTACAGACAGGAGCCATCTATGTGTGCGTCTCATCGTTGGCAAAAAACAAGTAATAAATAAAAAAATAAGGGAAGGATTTCATGAGAAGATTGAGGAGGGTTCCTTGTCAGACAAATAGCATATCTTACAAGGCCTTGCGCGCCGACGCCGGTCAAGTTGATCCTGGTGATGAAGCGCACACTGGGAGGCACGTCAGGATACTTCTGTCCACACCTCAGCATCAAAGAATATACACGACCTTCATAAGGGGTCTACAACGACGACAAGAACAACAACAAAAAAATAAAGACCTCTTTAACACTATGACGTGCAATTTACCCAAGTCTGAAATAAGGAATAACAAAATTGCACCACTTTATTACGGGGCAAATCTACATGTACCGCCATCCTCATTTAAATTGGATACATTTATACCAAAAGTAATACTCCCCTAGCTTATTCCCTTGGTTCCAAGCTGATTTCTAAAACAATTCTACTGTATTGAAGCAAGCTATACAGAGTACGTTAGTACAATGTACTAAAACCAGGAAAAATCCAATCCTTTGTACTTGGTGCTCTGTCTGTAGTCGGTATTAAACACAATATGTCTATATAAAATATTTGACCGACCCTTTTCCCAGCCTTGCAAAATAAGGAAACTTCCTCATTCCTTCCTCATTGGAACATAGGCGAATCATTCTCAAAGAGTGCTGAACTGAACGTCACTAAC